TTTTTTTTTTTCTTTTTTTTCTAATTTTTATTGGTGCATATATATATATTTTTCTTTTTTAAATTATACTTTATATTCTAGGGTACATGTGCACAACGTGCAGGTTTGTTACATATGTATACATGTGCCATGTTGGTGTGCTGCAGTGGCACAATCTTGGCTCATTGTAGCCTCCACTTCCCAGTCTCAAGTGATCCTCCCTCCTCAGCCTCCCACGATCCTCCCACCTCAGCCTCCCAAGTAGTTGGGACTACAGGTGTACATTGCCATGCCCAGCTAATTTTTATGTTTTTTGTAGAGATGGGGTTTTGCCACGTTGGCCAGGCTGGTCTCAAACTTCTGAGCTCAAGCAATCGACCTGCCTTGGCCTCCCAAGGTGCTGGGATTACAGGCATGAGGCACCATGCCCGGCTGTGAATATACTTAATGTCACAGAACACTATACTTAAAAATGGTTAAGATGATAAATTTTATGTTAAACCACACAGACACACACACACACAAACTTCCCATTGCTGTTGGGATGAAGGCCAACATCTGTGGTGCGACCTTCCAGCTGGGTGCGGTGGCTCACGGCAGTAATCTCAACACTTTGGAAAGTTGAGACTTGATCATTTAAGGCCAGGAGTTCAAGACCAGCCTGGTCAACAGGGTGAAATCCCAACTCTTCTAAAAACACAAAAAATTATCCGAGTGTAGTGGTGCATGCCTGTATTCCCAGCTACTCAGCAGGCTGAGGCACGAGAATCTGCTTGAACCTAGGAGGTGGAGGTTTTAGTGACCCAAGGTGGTGCCACTGCACTCCAGCCTGGGCACAAGCAAACAAAACCCAAAGTCCAGCTCCCCTCCACTTTGCACCCCTGCCACTCTTTTTCTTCTTTTTCTTTTTCTTTTTTCTTTTTTTTTTTTTTTTGAGTTGGAGTCTTGCTCTATCACCCAGGCTGGAGTGCAGTGGCCGGATCTCAGCTCACTGCAAGCTCTGCCTCCTGGGTTCACACCATTCTCCTGCCTCAGCCTCCCGAGTAGCTGAGACTACAGGTGCCCGCCACCTCACCCAGCTAGTTTTTTGTATTTTTTTTTAGTAGAGACTGGGTTTCACCACGTTAGCCAGGATAGTCTCGATCTCCTGACCTCGTGATCCGCCCGTCTCGGCCTCCCAAAGTGCTGGGATTACAGGCTTGAGCCACCGTGCCCGGACTCTTCTGAATTTTCTAATGTGTTTTGCTCCTTCTGCCTTGGGGCCTTCGCACATGCTGTTCCCTCTACCTGAAGCACTCTTTCCTCCCTTCTTTCAGTTAGTGTCTTCAGTTCTCAGGTCAAATATGACTTTCAGAGAACATTTCCTTGGCTTCATCTGGGTTCCAGGATCATGGTTCCTTCATGGAAAAATGTAAGCTGCACCACAGGTCCCCTTTCTGTGGGACTCCATACCCAGGTCAGACATCAGCCTCCTTAGAGGGCCAGCCATTCTCCCAATATGCATTGCCCTCTGTCCCTGCAGCTCACAGGTGCGTCCCTTCCACTTTTCCCTGTTCTAGAATTTCTGGCTCTGTGGAGCCTCCTTTCAAGGGAAGATAACTCCAACAAGGGGAATGGAGGGAGTTAGTCTTTGTTCCTTAGAAAAGGACAAATCCATCCATGGGTGATAGCTTGTGCTTTAAAGAGAGAACATTATGTGTTTACAGGAGAAGGAGAAAATGAACTCCTCGGATGTCCACACAGGGTGTTTCCAGAGGGCACTGGTCAGCCAGGCCCTGGTGGTTAGTGAAGGGTTCTCTACAGACGAGGAGCTGCTTCAGAAATGGAAGCAGGGTGGCTCTCTGAAGCCTGTATTTAACATCTCCCCTCTCAACCTGCTTCCCCCAGCTTCCATTCATACTCACGTGGGGGGCCCTGGGTTAGGGGTAGGGGTTTCACCTGGATAATCCTGATGGAGCTCAGATCCCACCTTCTATAGAAAGGCAGACCTGTGATTAGTGCAAGAAACACCCTGTACTCCCTGAACACAACAATGTCACTGGCTTAGCACAGAGCGTGCCAGACTCCAAATGTCAATTCGATGCTGTGATTCCTAAAAATCAGTCTGACTTAATGACACAGTGTGAACACAGTCTAACTGCCAGATGTACAGCCCCAGCCTTAGACACACAGGCTGAACCCCAATACAGAGGCCGACCTGCAGATTGATACCTTTGCCCCAGGGACAGAGTCTGAGGGCCCTTAGACACACAGTGTCAGAAATGATTAGGAGATTGCACGGATGCTAGATTCCCGGCTGTGCCCCTTGACGAGCTAGATTAGTGCTAGTTATTTAACCGCTGAGCCTCAGTTTTCTGATATGTAAAGGGAAAATAATAAAGGTACCTACCTCATAGAGTTGTTGAAAGGATTAAATGAGTTAATATACATCACATAGGTAGGATGGGGCCTGGCATACAGTAAGTACAAAGTAAGTATTTGCCGTTATTATTTTTAACCTCTCAGTTTCAGGGTCCACATTGGAAAATGGGGATATTAACAATACCAATAAGGAGGCTGGGGGAATTAGCCTGTGGGACAATGAATATAAGGAACATGGCATGGAGCCTGCCCCACAGCACATACTCAGTAAACGTCAACCATCATCCTGTTGCTTCTGCCTGGGACCCCAGTCCTGCAGTATTTAACATTTCAGAAGCTCTAAGTGGGCACTCCTTCCTGAGTCTCTCTAAATGTTAGCAAACCTGAAGTTCTGGTCCCAGAGCCTTTCTCTTCTCTCCCCAGGTGACCTCTTCCAGTCTCAAGCTTTCTTTCTCCCTTTCTTTTTTCTTTTCTTTTCTCTTCTCTTCTCTTTCCTTCTTTTCTTTCTTTTCTTTCTTTCCTTCTTTCTTTCTTTCTTGACGAGTCTTTCTCTGTCACCCAGGCTGGACTGCAGTGGCGCGATCTCAGCTCACTACAACCTCTGCCTCCTGGATTCAAGCGATTCACCTGCCTCAGCCTCCTGAGTAGCTGGGACCACTAGTGTGTGCCACCACGCCAAGCTAATTTTTGTATTTTTAGTAGAGGTGGGGGTTTCTCATGTTGGCCAGGCTGGTCTCAAACTGCTGACCTCGGGTGATCCGTCCACCTCGGCCTCCCAAAGTGCTGGGATTACAGGTGTGAGCCAGGGCACCTGGCCCCAGGCTCAGCCTTTAGATGCCATCTACAAGGCCCACCTCCTGAAAGTGTAGCTCTTACCCCTGCCTGACCTCCCCATGAAAGCCCAACTTGACACTTGAGTTGGCTGTCTCTGTGACATCTCAAGCTCGATATGCCCCCAATAGAAAACTTGATCCCACCACAGCCCACTTTCCCCTCCTCTGCCACATCAGTTATTGATGCCACAGTTCACCCAGGTGCTCAGGCCCAGAGCCTGTGACTCTTCCTTGCTCCTCTCCTGGCACCTGCCCTCACCTCCCACTCTTCCCCTTGCTCATTTGGCTTTGCCCACAGTGACATCTTTGCCAAATCTATCCCTATCAGAGGCCTTTGCACTTGTCACTCCCCTTGCAGGGAACACTTTCCCCCAAATACCTGCACACCCACATTTACCAAAGCCCTTCCCTGACCATCCTGTGTAGATAGCAACATGGCCATTGCCCCTACCCCTTACTCAGCTTGATTTTCTTCATAGCATCACCACCACATATTTGTTTGTTTGTTTATTCACTGTATTTGCCCGTCTGTCCTCCTTCACCAGACTGTAAGCTCCATGAAGACAGAGATTTTTTTTCTTCTTCTATTCCGAATCTCTACTGTCTAGAGCAGAACCTGGCACATAGTGAGTCCTCAGTAAACATTATCTGAAGAAATGAATGAAACATTATCTGAAGAAATGCCCCTCCCTCCTATACCTCACTTACCAATTAGCAGCTTGGGGAAGTTGGAAGTCTCGATGTTGTGATAGTAGACCACAGAGGTGACAGCAGCCATGAATGCCATCCCGGCTGGCATGTACAGGTGGAGGTGGCGGGATTCGGTCACCCTGAGATGGGAGAGAGAAATAGACAGGATGGGGACGTTCTAAGTACTGCAACAGAGCAGCCCAGGCCTTGAATTCCGAAGGCCGAACACTTAACCTTTATAGCATCACTGTATAGGCTGCAGGGCCCTTTAGTTAATGGGCATATTTGGAGTATAGGCTGGGCACAGCTGCCAGTATGTGGAGTAGAGCTGGATATTTGATCTGGAGGTCTTACTGTGTGCTGAGCCCTAAGCACAAGGGTCGCTGGGATCTCTTGAGCAGTGCAGGGGCCTGTATGCCACAACTCAGCCAGTGACAGTCCCATTTAACATGAACAGCATAAGTCAGCATTGGCACCCTCCCCAGGGGCTGTGATAACAAACTGATGAGAGTCAATATTTATGGAACATTTACCCTGTGCCAGGAACTGTTCTAAGCATGCGATATATATTAACCCACTTAATCTTCATTAAACCCCATCAAGTGGGTACTCTTAGTCTCCCATTTTATGGTTGAGGAAACTGAGGCACAAAGAGGCATTTCCAAGGTACTGATTTTGCCTTCTCCCTCAGGATGGGGAATGCAGCAGTCAATATCAGCTCATATTCTTTTCACTTTAACTCACAGAGGCCTCTAGGTGGGTGGGCCCTGGTCTGGGGGTAAGACCCAGAGGCAGCCAGAGCCTCCTCCCAGGCCTCAGTCTTCCCTGTGCCTGGTGAAGAGGGTCACTTTACTTAGTCATGATCATGCCCTTCCACAGCTCTCTCCTGCAGACAGCGAAACCCACTCTGCTCAGCCTGGAACGAAAGGCCCAGGCTATGTGGCGTCCAGCCACTTTACCAGAGTTGCCCAGCCTGCCCTTTCTGCTCCAGCCCTGTGGGACTCACTCCATTCCCAGATGGCCTGCTACAGCCTGATGCCTCAGTGCTGCTGTTGCCCACCAGGCTACTTCTATCCAGTGTGCCAAGGGTCCCTGCCCTTGAGACGCTGATGGTAGGGAGAGGGCTGCCATGCTCAGAGCTAACTCTTAGAGTCAGCAGGCTAGGGAAGTGATACCGCCAATGGACAGAGGCTGAGAGAGGACAAAGGAGGGGGTGGGCAACCAAGGACAGCTTCCTAGAGGAGGTGGCACCAGGTTGGACTTTGAAGGATACGTAAGAGTTCAACAGAGAAGGAGGAAGGACATGAGGAGAGCCATCCTGTGACCCCAGTGGGTCTGGTGGGACTGAGGTGCAAGTGTAAAGGCAATGTGGGCTCTCCACCAAAGAGCATCTTCCCCTTATTCTGTGCTAGGAGGGCCACAGGTTTGCTCCAGCAGCAATGTACCCAGCCCCAGGGGGAATGGATGGCGATTGGTTTAAGCAGTCATACAATTCCATACACCTTTGCTGGTGTTGGTCCACATATTCTGGCCAGTGAGATGTCAAGGAAAGAATAATCTCCCTCATAAAGGAGAGGCATGTTGGGAGAATGCCCTGTCTGCTCATGCTAAGCAATTCCCGGAGCTAGGCAGCCACCTTGTGACCATGGGGAAGATAGGCTGACACACAGACGATGGTGTGGAAAGACGGGAAGGGCTGTGTCCCTGAAAACATCAATGAGCACCAAACCAACTTGAAAAGGCAAACTCTACATTTCTTGCTTAATGAAATGGTAAATATTGATATTCTTTAGTGGATATTCTCCACAAAAGGTCTTCAAACTAATATAGAAAATACAAGAGAGACAAGGCTAGAGAGCAGTCATGAATGGCAACAATGGGCACAGCCAACGCCCTTCCCAGGGATCTTCAAAACTCTTGCCTCTTTACTCCTTGATATAATTTTGAAACGCCCTCTACTCTCTCACACATTTTTAAGCTGACATCTAAACATGTTTTGTCATATGTTGATATAAGTGCTTTTTTTTTTTTTTTTTTTGCAATAGGAGGGAGAAATGCTAAAATTTTATAAGACAAAATAAGATGAGGATTAACCATAATTGAACTAAATATTTCATGGCACGGCTTCATAGAATAGTTTTTAGCTGCTTTGTTAAATAATACAAACTGAATTAGTTAAGAAATTAGGTAAAGTTTTATATACGGGCTTTATCCAGTGTATGGTGGTCTGGGAAAATATTGTAGTTATTTTAAAAAATCTTCTTCACTAACTTATCCTGCTTTGATTGTTCTGAATTCAGAGCATCACACACAGAAATAATACCCAAAGGAAGAGGAGAAGTGCTACAGGTTTAAGATGGCTTAATTATTCACTAAATGAGGCTCACTCTAAATCAAATCAGGGCAGCCTTAATCAGCCTCCACTCCCACCTGCCCCCTAAATTTCCAGACAGCTCTGAAAACCCAGGCTGGATTAGACTAGGGGTATCACAAGGGTCTGTGACTTCTCCTGTCTGCTCTTTTCCTGCCCTCACTCAAGCTTGCCATCCCTGGGGGTAGGAGCTCACAAAGACCAAATGACAATTACTCAGCTCAAGCTGATCTGTGCCCTGGGGGGAGATGGCCCTTTGCACTGAGTTAAAGCAGAGCAGCCACACACAGGAGGGGCTGCTGACAGCCAGCAGGAAGGCGTCCCTGGACTCATTCATTCCGGTTTCCCACATCCTGGGAATACACAGTCTGCCCAGTGCTCTGCCACTCCCGGCTCTGCACCCTGTCCGTGCTCAAAGTTCATCCCTGTCCGTGCTCAAAGTTCATCCTCCAGAGCCCCATGAAGCAGCCAAGCCAGGGACTATGATGCTTGTTTCACAAGGCCAGAGAGCAGTCATGAATGGTCACACTGGGAACAGCCACCACTCTGCCCACGGGTCTTCAAAACTCTTGCCTCTTTACTCCTTGAAATAATTTTGAAACACCTTATACTTTCTCCACATTTTTAAGTTGGCATCTAAAATGATTTATCGTATATTTATAAATGCTTATGAGGCCCAGAAAGCCTGAACGACTTGTTCAAAGTCCCATAACTGGTACACAGCAGAAGTGCTTTCTAAAGACCCAGGTCTTCCTTCTCCAAGGGCGAGGTGTCTTCCTCTGTCACCATCTGGTGAGTATTTAACATCTGAGGGCTCGCTGTGGCATTTGTGCTACTTTGGAAGGGGTGTAGGGGTGGGGGTGGAGGTGGACTTGTCACCTGCTTGTGTAGCAGTATGCCTTCTGGTCTTCTTGCTGGTCTGGGGACTTTGATAAGCAGGGAGAGCTGCTGCCTCCAAGGCAAGCAGGTATTACAGAGATCACTGCTGAAGCCAGGATGCAGGGACACTGGGGGAGGGAAGGTGGGGAACGGGAGGGCGGATGAGGGAGCCTATCCCCTGCCATCCAACTACAGGAGCCAGGCAGTGCTGCAGGAGTGCAGTCTGGATAGTCTGATTGCAGCTCAGGGGGCGCTGGACCTCAGATACTCAAGCCAAATATCCCTCTCCTCCATCACTCCCTCTCCTGGCAGTCTCTCATTCTTGCTGCTTACTGGATTCTTCCTTAGTGAGATGGCTGCTCCAGCTCCTCTTCTGTCCTCGACTGCTGACACACCATTTCTGTCTGCAGTTATCGCTCACCTAGACTACTGAAATCAATGCTAAGTGCCACTTCTATTATACCTCTAGCTTCTCCCTGCCTCCAGCCTGCGCTGAACACCTCCTCAGGTTCTCACCTAAAAGTGTTATGCTGATGACATCCCTCTTCTTTTCCAAACTGCTGACCAAATCCAACCCAAACATGCAGTCTGGGATTCACAGTCCTCCTGAGATGCCCCAACCTGGGTTCCCAGCCTCAGCCTCCATCGCTCCCCAGCCTGTGTTTAATGCTCCAGGCCCTGCGCTGCTCCCTAGCCCTACCTGCTTTTCTCTTTGGTGCCTTTTCTCTTCCCTCAGGCACCACAAGCTCTCTCTCTCCTTCCTCCTCTGTGTGTCAGAAACCTAGTCACCCTTCCAGACTCCGCTCCAAAGCCCTCTCAACCACGGAACTTGCCCAACTCTGCCTTCCTCTTGCCTCCCGGAGTATTTATTTGTAACACAGTTTCATTTATTCTCCTAAGGACCCAATAAATGTTTATGGACTGAATAATGTTTATGTTTATCACAAGCCTTGCACTGTGAATACAAAGATGAACAAGACTCAGATTCTAACTCTTAGGCCTTTCTGACTCAGATGACAGTTTTGCAAATAGACATAAACTTTAACATACAGTATGATCCGTGCTGTACCAGAGGTGGGAGGAGTGTGCTGTGAGACCCAAAGGGAAGGTAAGCATAGGGAATGAGGCCAGAGACAGGTGGGCTGACTGTGAAGACCTTGGATGGTGGGCTGAGGATCTGAGACCACATCTTCGAAACAGCTGAGAATCAAGGAAAGGTCTTATGCAAGAGTGAGTGATTTTTTTTTTTTTTCCCAAGAAGGTAACTCCGGCAGCTTGTAGAAGAGACCTGGCATTTTCCACTGGAATTGTGGCATTCTAATAGGCTCTAGCATTATTTCACTGGGACTTAGCATGCAGATCCATGCTCCCTCCACTCTCCTGGACTGATGGCAGGGCCTGGGACTCACTTGTGTCCAATGCCCAGCTCAGAGAGGTTGGCACATAGGAGACATTGAGTTGCTGGATGTAGTAACAAAAGATATGGGCTTGTGGAATGCAGGTGAGCTAGTGTCTCCTTCGGCCTTTCAGGAAGTACCCTGTAGCAGATTCACTTTCCTGAGTCCTCAGACAGTCACTCACCCATCAGACAGGATGCCCTCTGCAATCTCACACACCAGGACGAAGAGCAGCATGAAAGTCAGGATCCACCGCAGGTTGTGCCCAGGGAAATGAAGCCACGTGCTGTGATGGATGTGCACCTTGGAGCTCTGACTGCCCCATCCTGCAGGGAAAGACAGTCAGAGGCAGGATGCCTGCCCACTTGGAGGAGGAGGAGGGTGCATGAACCCCAGAAGGTTGCTTGGGCATTGGGACCATGGTGGGGGTGACACCTACACATGAGAATCCCCAAGGCTGGTGCACACAAACTAAACGTCCAACTCGTTCAGCCTGGTCCTATGCTGGTACCTCCCCCCACCACACCTTTTTTTCTTTTTGAGAGATGGTCTTGCTCTGTTGCCTCTGCTGGAGTGCAGTGCCACGACCCCTGCTCACTGCAGCCTTGATCTCCTAGGCTAAAGTGATCCTCCAGCCTCCTGAGTAGCTGGGACTACAGGCGCACATCACCATGTTCAGCTAATTTTTAATTTTTTGTAGAAAGAGGGGGGGTCTCATTATGTTGCCCAAGCTGGTCTCAAACTCCTGGACTCAAGCAATCTTCCTGTCACAGCCCACCAAAGTGCTGGAATTACAGCCGTGAGCCACTGTGCCCTGCCAAGGTACCCCATTATACATGCTAACTTCTTGTGTGACAAGTCATCAGGTTAATAAACCATTTGGTTGAGAACAGAAGTGAAAATGCTGGGTTTTTTTTTATTTTTGATGCACATACGAGCACATATTTTGTATGTTTTCTTTCTATTTCTGTCTAACTGTGTTTGTTAATAACTAGCAACTCTGCTTCTGCAGCAACCTCTTGTAAATCTAATTTTGTGACAATCTTTCCTTTCTTCCCCAAAGCTGTACATGAATTTTAAGATTTGCTTTTTTTCTTAACGTGAATGAACACGTTTTGGGGAGGCAGGGGACACCCTATGAGTTGATAGACTTGACTGATCTGGAAGGGCCAAGGTCTTGGAGAGAGATGGGGGCGGGGGGACCTCAGTGGAGAGGCACGCACGATTGTCCCAGCCGTGGCCCCCAACGTTGCAAGCAAGGGCGCCGGGGTCGCTGGGTCGGCAAGTCTGAGCTACTTTGCGCAGAGCCTGAGAAGTTGGCTCTGGAGACACATGCCTGGGTGGGGTGGCGGGGGAAGGGAATCCAAGTCCCTAGCTCTCGCCTCTCCTCGCCCAGGGCGCGGGCCCGGGACTGTCAAAGATCACGGACCACTGCGCGGCTCAGCCCGGTTCGCATAGTGGTTAGCGGGGCCTCCATCCCAGGCTCCGAAGCACAGGCTTCCCTCCTCCCTAGGCCCAGCTGCGGCTGAGTGGGAGGATGCCTTGCGGGAGGGGTGACCCGGCTCCCTAAGCTGCGCCACGGAGGATGAGGCCCGACCCCTCTCCACTTCCCCACCGCGTGCAGAGACCTCCTCTTTCCTTTTCCCCCATCCCAGCTCTTGGCCCTGCAGAAGCAAAACTTGGCGATCCCGTGGGTCACAAACGTCAGCTGTGTTTGGCGCGGGATCGGAGGCACCGGGGGAGTGAAGGGATGAACTGGTGTGCGAATGCAGGGACCGGCGGGCAGGACACAGGACAGGGGACCCCGGGAACGAGGCTGTCATGGGCCGGAAGGGGACGCCGAGCGGTGCGGCGCGCAGCGCCTCCTCCTCCTCCCTCCCAGCACTCCCGTCGCCTCCTCCGCTGCTCGCCGCGCGCACTCACCGATGAAGAGGATGGGGAAGGTGATGAAGAGTAGGAAAACGTGCGGCACCACGTTGAGCGCGTCCACAAAGCAGCCGTTGTTGAGGACGCCCTGGTCCACCCGGTAGGCGGCCGAGTGGTTCTCGCTGCCGCAGAAGGCCAGGGGCATGGCGGCGCGGGCTCGGGCTCCGCTGGCTCCGCGCGCCTCCCGAGCCTCTGTCCCTCGCAGCTCCGCCGCCCGGCCCGGCCGTCAGGCCCCCGCCCTCCCGGGCCCCGCCCCGCCCCGCCCCGCCCCGCCGGCCTCCCTCTCCCGCACCCCGCCCTGCACCACCACCTGCGGGACCGTGGGGACCGCAAGGAACCCGACCCGCTCTGCCACGCCTGCGCCCGCCTTCCAGATATGGAGGCGCGTGCTCCCAGATGTTGCCGGGGTCGCTTCGTGAGTGCCCCGATGCGCGCGTGCGCTGGGGGCGAGGGGAAGGGCAGGCGGAGATGGGGAGTGGGGTGTGGGCACACTGGAGTCTGGGTAGGAAAGGAGGGTGGGGCGTGCAGAAGAGGAGAGAAGGGTCCACATGGCCTGGAGTGGGCGGGTTCAGGGTCCCGAGCGTGAGTTCACCTGGGCGTGGTGCGGTGGATGTAGAGAGCCGAGGGACGGGGGCAGAGTGGCGCAAGTCTCCACCCCACATGGATGAGAAAAGTGGGGCAGAATGTTACCTTGTGTTGGTGGTGGTGGGGGGTGGGGCTTGGGCGTTTTCAAAAGTGGTCCCAGGTGGGGCAATCCTAGGTACTACTTTACAGCTTATCTGGCACTTTCACACGAGGATCTCCCAGCACTCTTGCTAAGTACAGGTTCTAATCACTTCCATTTTTCTGATGAGGAAAACCAAGCTGCGAGGGAGCTGAAGGGAGGCCAGTAACATGACTTCCCCAAGGTCTCAGTTCCAGCAAGCAGGGAGGCATAGCTTGACCCCAGCTGCTCAAGTCCCCCATCCCCACCCCCATCATTTGTACTCATGCCTCTGGTACATGACAACCCTACAGCGACTGGCAGACCAGTGGGTAGAATGGGTGACGGCCCCAGGCTGAAAAAGAGGAGCTTTAGAAACGCATCTGGCCAGACGGATGCGAGGCAGTGGAGGGAGACTGAAATTCTTAACCTGACCTGGAACAGGCTTAACATTTGGAGGACACCATGAAATTGTACAGACAACGTTATGCCTTCCTATACGTTCTGGAGAGATTCTCATGAGACTGTGCCCCAAAGAAGTTTATATAGTATGTAGAAAGAACAGAAAATGGGATTTGGGGGTTAGATTTAAGAAGAACTTTCCTAAATAGGGTATGAAGCATAAATGAGCATGTTCTCAGGAAGGGTCAGGGGAACACCAAAGGAAGACCCCTTCAGCTCCTTTGCCTACAAGCTTCACTGAGACTGCCCTGAGGCTGCTGAACCTGGTGAGCCCCTCCACCACGCTTCAGCAAGGCCGAGGCTCTGCCCAGGCCCTGAGGCAGAGGGCAGATGGGGTTAGGTGAACAGCCTTGGGAGAGTAGGGTCCAGTGTCTGAAAGCCTCAGTCTCTGACTTTGGAGAATTTCTCTGAAGCCAAAAGATGTTTCTTGCAGCATCAGCCAAAATAGTGAAAACTTGGTGGCAGTAAATATCCTGTACCAGGGACAGGGGTTAATTAACCTGGGAAAATGCAGCCCCTGGAACGGTGCTAGCTGAGTCTGTGTAGTCAATAGAAAAAGTTTATGAGATAGTGTCAGGTGAAAAACGGCAAACAAAATTGTGCTTCCCATGATTATAGCCGTATGAAATATGTATGGTTGCGTGAAGCCTGCAGGGAAAGGTCAGATTTGGAAATATGGTAAGGCAGTGCTCGGTATGTATTAGCTGCCGTCGCTGTGCTTATCATCATTCCTTTTCTTTAAAAATGAGACAGCTGAGGTTCAGAGAGATGAGATGACAGGCCCATGGTCACCCAGCAAGATTTTTTCTTTTAGTTTATTTTTCTTGCTTTCAAGTTTTTTAAAAAATATATTTTCTGCAATGTTATTTTGTTTTGTAGTTACAATATCAGTTTTTCACACTTTCAGCAATGCTATCTTTCTTTTTAGCAGTAATAATATATTCACTTTCAAAGAACGGGGTTCCTAGTCCTGGCTCTACCACTACTAGTTGTGTGATTTGGGGGCAAGTTACCATTCTGCACTTCAGTTTCCTTATTTCTAAGTGGAAAAGATAATAATATGGACCCCAGAGGATTAAGATGAGATCATGGGTGTGAATGTGCTTTGCAAGTTGGGGAGATGGTCCCAGCTGCTTCATCCCCTGGGTGACCACACACGACAGCCCCTCGATCAATCAGGGTTATTTAATGGCCTCTCCCTCACCCCACATTGCCTGGTGCAACCCTCACACTTGCTTATTCTGGGTCATTTAAAATAAACAACAAGTCTGGTATTAAGGGAGCATCACCTGGGACTAAGAAAGTGTTAAGTCTGGAGTCTTGGGGACCCGTGTTTGCCATCTCCAGCACAAACTTACTTGTGACTGTGGACAAATTCCATCTTTCCCTGCACCTAGCTCTACACTGAGGACATGCACCACACTGCCCACCGTGTGGGTGGGAGAATTACTCTGAAAAGTGTGGAGTCAGGTGCGCACGGGGGCATGAAAGGACTTCCTTTGTAATATATGGGTTGTAATCCTGGAATCAGCCCAAATGCTCATCAACATGGGGCTGGTTCAAACAGACAAAAACCAGATATTGTCTGTACTATGGGATACTATGGAGCAAGCGCAGAGAATAGAGTTATGCTTGCTGGCAGGGGAAGATGTCCAAGACACAGACGCAGAGCAGTGTGTCGCATACAAAATCATTTATGTCTGTAACAGGGTTACGCTTGCCTCTGTGGGGGAGGTGCTGGGTCTCTGGTGCTTCCCCACCTCCAGCGATGCCTCCTGCTTCTCTTGCTAGGGGCTGGAAGAAGGTCAGACTCTGGGAGCTTGCTTTGAGCAAGGGTAACCCCCCTCTGAGAATTCCCAGCCATTCTCCTGGCAAAATGAAAACTAGGGCTGGATTTCCGGGATTGGATTCTCACACTGACCGGCTACTGGGTGGGTGTGGCCTCAGACAGGGTGTAGCAAAGGGACTGGCGTAGAGCTTCAGAAAAGTCCTTTCCAGATCCCTTGAGCCAGGGGGGTTAAGGCTGCAATAAGACATGATCAGGCCACTGCACTCCAGCCTGGGCAACAGAGCAAGACCCTGTCTCCAAAAAAAAAAAAAAAGGCCCTTCCAGCTCTGATGTTGTTCTGGCCTTAGTGCCTTTGTTTCTGTCTGGCTGACTAGGTGTGCCAGTGTTCCAGTGACCTTGGCAGAGAGGGTCATTACAATGACAATGGTGACATAATGGAGTGGGGTGACAGTTTCAGAAATGAACCCTTTCAAAACCCACAATCAACAGTGGGCTGGTTAAAAACAGACAAAAGCAAAACTCATGGTGTGATCTATACTATGGAATAGTGGGGAACAAGTACAGAGCCTAAGTTCAGGCGACCATCACTGACTGGGAAAGATGTATCCTTTTCCACCTCCTTCAGGTGCTCAAAGCCTGTGTCCACAGGGGAACATGGAAAACTGTAGAACCCGTAAAAGAGAGGACTGATGTAGAGACAAAATGTCTTAACTGGAACCTGGGAGGGAGAAGTGATCTCCTGTCTCATCTCCATCCTGCCCCATGTCAGGAGGAGGGAAGTAGAGAGAGAAGTTCTTTTGAGAGGGAGTTTGTGCCCAGCCTCCCTGCCTGTCTGTTGTAGGGGTGGCTGGGGGACAGCCACCAGAAGGGACAGGCTGTGTGTAGACTGTGTCAGAAAATCCATACAGGGGCTTTTCAGGTTTTTAAGAATTACTTTTCTGTAGAGATGGGGGTCTTACTGTATTGCCCAAGCTGGTCTCGAGCTCCTGGCCTCAAGGGATCCCCTCCCCTGCACCTTGGCCTCTCAGAGTGTTGGGATTACAAGTGTGAGCCACTGTGCCTGGCTCACATACAAGGGTTGTTTTGAAGAAAAGTCTTCTTGTCCCAGGGCAGGGCCTCTAGATGACAGAGGCGGGGGACCCTCAGCCATATTTGAATGGGAAGGGTAAGGCAGGAACAAGATGAACCCTCTCCAGTCTCTTGGCACCACATAATTGGGGAGGTGGGGAAGGAAATCCAAGAAGGCCCAAGGTTAGTGTTTTCTGCCAGCCTAGTGGGATGGAGACTTGATATAGAAATTAAATAACATTCTTGTTCTTGCCCACTTAAATTTTGGTACAGGATCACCCTCACCACAGTAACATAACTCAGAAGGATAACTCCCACGGATGTCCTGGTTGCTCTATACCCTTGAGGCCACTTAAGGTCAAACTCAGCATCTCCTTGCATCCTCTAAAAGAGCCAACTCCCAGTCCATTGATTTTAAAAAACGAAATCTTTACTGAGCTCTTTACAGAGAGCTGGAAGAGGTGTAATTCACACAACTCACAGCAGAAACTTAGTAAAATCCCCCATTTCTCCTGTACCCCCAGTGGTCTTCTCCTTTGTGTGTATCTCATATCTCCTCTTCCTTTCTTCCACACAGTATCTTTTTTTAAAAAACATGCCCCTTGTGACCCAGAGCAAGTCAGTATTTGCCTTCAGCTTGCTTACCCACTTAGGGCTTCTCAAGCAAGCCTCGCTCCCTTCCCAAGCTGCTGGTCATCCCCAAACCTGCTCTCTTTCTGGGAAGATTATTGAGGGGGCAGGGGGGATAAGATTTTCTCCTTTTTGTTTCACCAACAATTGTTGAGTGCTTAGTACATGCCAAACACTTTACGTGTTTTAAATCTCACAGTAACCCTGCCTAGTAGTTACAACTATCGGGAGAACTGAGGCTCAGAGAGGTTAAGTCCCATTCCCTAGTCACACAGTTGGGGGAGTTGGTGGAGAAAAGAGCCAAACTCATTAAGGCCTGGCTTCAAAGCCTGGGCTGTTAACCACTTCCCAAAAGGATCCTGGGGGTACCAAGGATTTTTCTGCCTCTGAGACTTTGACTCCTGAGGAGGGAGTGCAAGGCCCAAAGAACAGACCTTTGGGGAAACCTGTGTATCTGTGCCTTTTGCCTATTCTCTGTGTTAGAACCCGAAAGAAAGGCCTAGTTCTGTCACTGGCATCCGTCGGGGGTCAGATGA